GGACCCACCACGCTCCCTTCCAAGCCCTGTAGATTTTCTGCTGCACAGCTTGAAAAAATCTACAAGGTTCAGGCCACCACCGCTCGCAGCCCGAGCTCCATCAGCATGCTCCAGACTTACCAGGCTATGGCTCTGGCGGAGCTCGGAGCCCAGGTACAGGCTGAGAGTCCTCTGCTGCATCTCTTAAACAAGATCCGACTCACCGCGGACTACATCCTCCGTGCGTCCCGCGGCGTAGCTCTCTCACTGGGCAGAGGGATGGCTTCAACCGTGGTGGCGCAGAGACATTTGCGGTTGACACTCTCTGATGTCCCCGACAGAGACCGGGCCACAGTCTCTCGACGTTATTCAGGCAAAGTTTGAGCTGAGGAAGAAGCAGGCAGAAGCTCTGCACTGCATTATCCCCAGAAGGGACTCGAGACCCAAGACCAGCACACCGAAGCCGGCCGCACAGCTGCCTCCGGCAAAGAGAACGGTGCTGCCTGGGAGCCTAGGCACCCAGTCACCGCAGCCTCATTACCATGGCCAACCCCCCCGCCAGTCGGCTTGGAGCAAGGGCCCCCCTCCGGGTCTTCAGAAAGGTGCGACGCCTCGGAGGAAGAAGACGCAGTCCTCCTAACTGTGGGACCGTCACTGCAGGGACTTCGGGACCAGGGAGATTTTTCCAGAACTTTTGTCATTACAAATGTAGGGGTCACCTCGAGTGAAGAAACAGGAGTTACTGCCTCAAAGCAGGTCTCAGACAGGCCTGACAGAAGGCAGGAACACTGAACTCTATTTTAGGTCATGACAGGTCATTTCAACCTAGAAGAGAACTTCAGTTCTCTTGATCAGATAATGAACAGAAACAATCTAATCTGTTCGTGATTCATTTGTTGTTTAACTAAGAATGTTTATGCATTTGTTAATCATAATAATGACATGTCACAAAGAAAGAAGAATCACTTCTATTCTTTTATCGTACCTAAAAGATTAATTAATAGTATAAAAATCACAGAGAAAATCATCACCATGTTTTCATTGTGTTTTTTTATATAAATCACTGTTTTTATTTTACTGGAAACATCAGTAATATAATTTTGAGTTTGTCTTAAGAAAATCTTTCATTTATCTGGACACCAAGTTCAGACTGATTATTTAAACAGAAATGTTAATTAATCATCATAAATGTTTTACAGTGATTTCTCTTAGAGTCTATCAGAAAGAAAAGCTAAAGAAGATATTACCAAATGTCTGTTAAAACAGCCACAGAATGTCCTTGACTGGCGCCGGATGGCAAAGCTCTTTATCTTACTTTCCTTTCTCTGACTCATTCTTAACGCCCATGGGCGGATCCAAAGTCGTCCGACTCTGTACTAACACGGACGTCTTTGAGAGACGCACAGACTCTTCTTCCTGAATGCCAACAAGGGAAGACGTTGATCTCTCTTCGGAGAACCAGCCCGGCCTCGGACCTCGCCCAGTCGCCAAGTAGGGCAGGACCCGACGGCCGGGACAAAGGCAAGCCGCCTTTTGTCCACACTGAGACTTAGGTCTCTCAAGTGTTTTTACTCCCGGGGGGAGAACTTTTATTTTGAAGGACGACCGGAAACTTCAGCTAGAATCTTTCTGGCTTGGACTGAAACAGAAGAAAGTTACCTGAAAACACCTACTCGCCAAGGACCAGTAAGCGAGCTGATAAAAGTTCCCTGGATGGTCGGAGGTGAGCCAGTTCCTACCCAGGGGTGCCTTAAGAAGCCATCACCAGGTAAAGCTGACGTGTTCGGGGTGACGTGTCATGTGGAATCTGAGCGCAGAGAGGACGTGCTAATCCGGTTGTCACATACCCTTACCAAAATAAAAGCAGAAACACTAACCTTAATTTCAAACCTTTTCTTATCCTTTCTTTGCCAATCTTAAGTTAAAGTGCCAGTAGAATTGTTTGGTTGTTAACATCAGAACTGACGTTTTTACTGTTCTATATATAAGTAATCTGAGTTTTAATATGAACTGAAATTCGGACGCGAGTTTTATCTCATTTAACTCTGACGCTTGTTATAGGAAATCCACAATCAGGTGTAACTTATGATCTGTTCAATTTGTGTAAATAAATGATTGCATAATCTTTTATGAATCAACTTGAACTCGTCTGAACGTTCCCTTATTGTGTCACTTTTCAATTTGCACAGTCAAAATATTAAAGTAATGAGGAAAATGCCTTGGTAAAAATTTCTCTCATAACTTTGTTATGAGATTATGAAAAGTATGTAGAGGAAGCTTATTTAAGGTAAGCCCTACCCCTACACAAATATATTTTAAAAATTTTCTTATAGAAAAAGTTCTTATATCTGTTGCCCAGGTGTTCGCCCCGCCCCCTCCTGAAAAGAAACACAAAACATAAACATTATTATCCAGAACTATTGTTTTGTTTTTTAAGCCACTTCAGTAGAAAGCAGAACTGAACATTAGTTTCTGAGTTTCTTCATGATCAGTGACTTTTTTAAGAAGATAAAGAAAAGAAACACAAAACATAAACATTAATATCCAGAACTTTGTCAATACAAATATATTTGTAAACATTTCTTTAAAAAAAAAGGTTATTACCTTTGTTGCCCAGGTGTTAGCCCCGCCTCCTCCTGAAAATAAACACAAAACATAAACATTATTGTCCAGAACTTTTTTTTTTTTTTTTTTAAGCCACTTCAGTAGAAAGCAGAAACACACATAAACAAGCTCATGCAGAGACGCAGTGTTTATTTTCCTGCTGTATCCGAGACATAAGTGGAATAATTGCAGGAATTTCTCCGAGCTTATTACCTCCAAACGTAGTCAGGAAACAAAGCACTAAAATGCTCCAAATAAACACGACTTCATGTCAAACGGACATGTACTCAAACTGTCCAATCAGCTGGGAGGATTTTAATCTAGATTTTCCATTTGAGCAGACAATACAGGAAATGACATGACACAGTTTGACATTTTTGTTTTATTATTATAAAATAATCCACACTGTTAACATCAAGGCATATTTTATTTATTATTAGATGTTCTTTAAAAAAAACCTCACGAAAAGAAAAATGAATGCAGAGAACACAAGCACCAGTAAACCGCTTAAAAACACTTTCTTATTGCACACAAACAGCTTAGTTTCAGTAAAATACACTCATAAATTAAACATTTATTTGATATGGCTGGATTAAACTACAGCACATTCTAAAACAGAAATACAAAGATTAAATCTGAGCAGCAAACAGCAGAACAGCAGCTTTACATTAAGAGCAACAAAAATTTTATATCCTCAGATGATCATCTCCTGTAAAACAGAAAAATCAGTCATTAACTTTGTGCTTTTATTTTTTAAACATTTTTAGTTAGACTCAAAGAGAGAACTCCACGTCTTGAGCTTACACAACAATCCTGCAGTTTGTCGCCTGGACGTGGCTTCCTGTGTACCTGACGTCACACCTCACCTCGTTGTTGGAGAAGTCAGACTCAGGAACCAGCTGAGAGGGGTTCACTGTCACCTGGAAAACACACGGTAAAACAGTTTTTATTATTTAATTGAGTTAAAACTTTTTTAAGTGAATACAATGTTTAAAGTCAGATCTACCTTCAGTATGTAGTTCCCAGGCGGCACGTCAGTGATGTCGATCCACTGGCAGTCAATGTTGGCGTGATATGTGTCATAGCAGCCAGGACCGAGCCCCTAAAAAAACAAACGAAATTAACTTTCTGTGCTTTGAGGTCATTGAAATCCAGAGGTAAGTCTCAGCTAAGTGACTCACCTGTGTGTGAGCAGTGCAGGCAAAGCGCCGCCGCACTCCTGGGTCACATGACGTGTCCTCCAGACAGAAACTGGCTTTGTGTCCCTCAGCGACCTTCTGTTCGGTGGAGACGTCCAGCAGGTCGTAGTTACTGAAGGCCTCCATGCTGTGGTAATGTCTGCGGTCAGACGAACACACACGCGCGCGCACACACACACACACACACACACACACACACACACACACACACACACACACACGTCACAAACACTTCTCATGGTACAAGAACCCTCTGATTGCCCTCATTTAAAACTGGATGACATCGTTTGTTTTTAAAACTTAGAACGTTCTGTGTTCATTTGATCATGCTCCACCTTGAAAGGTTTCTTTATTATTTGCCCTTGTCTGTGATTGTTTGACTGAGGTGTTAGCAAAATATCTCATGAACCACTGGACGACTTTGAATTAAACTGTCAGAATATGATCATTAAATGTAATCAGCAGTGTGCATTGCCAATGCAATGCACACTATTGTGATTCGTTTCCCATCCAAGTCATCGCCTCTTTGTCACGCTTCTCCTCCTGCATACTTTGTCCTAGAGCTGCCATTGTAATTTATATCTGTAAAGCTCCTCTGCCAAATGACGGCTATGCCTTTTGGTGCCTGTACAACGTATAGTTTTTGAAATATTAATGTTTAATAATAAATTATAATGGGTGTCAATGGAGCCTTGTATTGGTCCAATACTGCCCCCTGCTGTATATACTCAGTACTGAACCATAGTTTAATAATATTTAATCACAATAGTTCAGTGGTTACAATACTAATATGACTCTATTTTGATGTTTTACTCTTATATTGTCCTAATATTGCTCTATTGCTGTGATATATTAAAGTTTAGTGTCAACAATTGCATTGGCAATGTGGCCTCTTTCAGCACACATAGAAATCAACTCCTGGCAATCTTCTCTGCCACAGCTCCAATGGCTAATGGTTAATGCCATGGGCTTTCATGTGGGAGATCAGGGTTCAAAACCCAGCTACAGCAACTTTAACTAAAATTCTCTTTAAACTTCATATTGTCACACAATTACCATCATCACAAACACCTGCTGACTTGACAAGCACAAGTTGGTAGAAAACACATTTGAACTGGGTCACATTTCATTCTGCAAGTCCACTGCTGCAGGCAAAGCCATGCTGCAATGACATGCTACATGGCAATGCACACTTGTTTTTACATCGTAAAAACCCATGTCTAGTTTAGAACTGATTTCCTTTTGGAGTCAACCAATCGAGAAATAGCTACAACCGAGTCAATATTTGTGTGGTAGTAACTGAGAGTCATCCTCAGCCCATACTCCAAGACCTCACATGTTATTAGAACACGACATAAAATGATGCCAATGTGTCAAACTCAAGGCCCACGGGCCGCAAGTGGCCCTTCATGACCTTTTATGCGGCCCATGGTCTACTAACATAATTAAATAAGCTGCTGCAGCCCATGTTGTACTTCCCATTTACAAGTTGTAAGTTTAAACTGGAAAACTCCTGCAGTGGGAATTCCCTGTCGGAATGTGGGAGAGTTCAGAATTCAAGATGGCGGCTACTCACAACAACTCAACAGTGAGGAAAAGTCTTAATAGTATTTTTGTGACATTTACTTCACATTTAGTCAGTCGTACACATAGTACTTTACAGTGTTTATAAGAGGACATGTTAAAATGCTGTTTCTATGCAGGAAATACCAGGTAGAGCTCTGCTGTTTTTTTTAGCGGTGCTCATAGTTTGTATGAGAAGAGGAACGTGCCATTTTGTGTTTATCTGAAGTTAAACATGAAACATTGAAGTTATTCACAAGTGGCCCTTTGAGGGCCACCATAATGCTCATGTGGCCCTCGGTGAAAAGGATTCTGACCCCCCCTGATTTAATGAATGTGTGTTTTAACGATTGTAACTGTGGACTCACTGATGACAGCTGTGCCATTCCCACTCGTGTCTGGGTCTTACTGGGAGGAAGTCCGCCGTTCCCTGGTTCTTGACTCGCTGTGGGAACCGCAGCAGAACTCTGTAGTCCAGGTCGCTCACACTGGGATGATATGCAGACCTGAAAATGGTAGGAAGCATTAGCAGAGGCCAGCAGTACCTCTGTATCTACAGAACTCTGTTGTGCATGCGTTTACTTTCATCCCAGAAACTCTTTCCCTTTTTTGCCCTTCCAAGGTTTATTTTGGCTGTAAGTCTCATTGGATCAAAGGAAAAAAAAACACTGTTTCCAGGTTCAGTGCCCAGTCGGTCTCTCTGTCTCTCAGTTGTTGCATCCAAGTGGGATAAAACACACTTCCTGAAGCTGCAGCCGTCAGGATTCCTTTGATATTTACTCGTATTTTTGGGAGTTTTTCTGACTCATATCAGTGAAAAAGAAACCCCCTCATTTGAGCACATTCCTCTTTCTGAATGCCATGCATTTATCAGATTAAAGTGAAAAAAAAAAAGCAGCACCTGGAGAGGCAGTTCTCCTCTGCAGCACAGCGAAGTGCATACATCTGAACTCTCTGGATGTAGGAGGCAGCCTGGATGTAATATGGGTCTGGTATCAGGTCTGGGAGACCTGCAAAGACAGAAAAAAAAAACAAAACAAAACATAATTTAATTGAGTTAGAGTCAAATATACACAAAATAGATACTTTATTGTTTCATGTATTGTTAATTACCAGTGATTCATGTTTTAGATAAATATATATAACCAGAACAAGACATCCTGTTGAAAAAACAGATTTAACATTTTAAATCTACTAAAATGTAACAGATCTCACTTGAAATGATTTGAGGAAGTTACGAGTAATTTCTTCACCACTTCCGGTTGAAAAATGAATGATTCAAGTCACTTTGTGGGAAGTAAATTAAATGTGTATTAATGAGGAAAATGTGTTTTAATCAGATGTGACAAGAATTGAGTTAAATAAAATAAAAATAAAAATAAAAACTGGATGGTTTTGAAGTTTAATGGCTGCTTTATTCTGCAGTTTGTCCTCAGTCTCGTACCGTTGTAGAAGAATCTGGTACCGTATCCGGTACTGACTGGGCCTCTGCCGTCCTGCCGGTTCCTGCGGTCCGGTGGGTAAACATTATAGAAAACTGAGTTCCTGTGTTGGATGCTGTGAGGGTCTCGTGGGTCTCCGGCTTCTGTTGGTTCCGTTCTGCTGCGCGGGAAGTGGATCTCCACGGAGTTCCCGGACTCCGGGCTGGCTCTGGTCAGGGACTGGACCCTGGACTGGTCTTCGGTCAAAGTGACCCAAACCGATGCGGGAGGTGTTTCTGAGCTCTCGGACTCCGGCCTGAAGCCTCCCCTGTGCGTAAAATCGCGCGCTCTGACCGGAGCCGGACGGGTGGGCTGTGCGTCCTCAGGGGCACTGCGGCCCCCTCTGGGGACTCCGCCGCCGGAGAAGTCCAGGATGGAGGTTCTGTTAGGTGGAGCCTGGTTTGTGAGGGGCCGACTGTCTGAGGTGAGCAGGTACTGACCCGCCTCAGCACCAAGAACTGACGCATCCATCTGATTGTCGTCTCTTTGCTCAGACCGATCCCTGGATGCGCTCCCGGACCTGGTTCTGCTGGACCTGAGCGCAGCGGGTCGGTGGATCTGGTTCAGATCGTTTTTCGTGGTCAGTAAAAGCTGCGTGCGTCTCCTGCTCTGAGAGGGTAAACGGTACTCGGTCCCGGTGCTGAGTAAGCTGTAAACATGCCCGTTGTTCTCCCACTGGATCCGGTGTCTCCACGGGCCGGAGCGCGCTCGTGGAGGGTCCTGACCCGCCCCGAAACACGCCAAAATTGCGAGCAGGCAGATCAGCAGGATCCAGGACCGGACCATCGTGGATCACTGAGGTTCTGTTTGAGTCTGGAGGAGGATGAAACATTTAAACCAAGAGGAGAGCTGCTGGAGAATCCATCAGCTCGTGACGCAGCATCACTGTGAGGTGGGGGGCAAAGCCCAAGACCAGCTGTTTAGATACATTTCTTGACACACACACACACACACACACACACTCTCTGCA